TAAACTTCCATAAAGAAGGTACATAACAACATTTTTTAGTACTTAAAGGAACATTAAAAAAGAAGATAACAACATTGAAAATGGAGATGCCAACATTTCTTAGTACTTAAAAGAACATTAGTTCTACTGAAACATTGGGAACATTAATTCTACTTAAACATAGGGAGAATGACTTCTACTTATCATATATGATATGGCAGCTAACACGAACAAAAATGCCAGCATCAAATACCCATCACCTCGGTTGGCGTTTTGCTCATTCTCATTGAGCCAACCAACTTCTCCTTGAAGCTGTCTTATCTCTTCTTTCATTTCTGTAATGTCTCCGAGCGAGCCATTTCTTTCCATCAACCTCTTCAATGTCTCGAAACGAGTCTCCAAACAAGGATCAAAAGCTTGAAGTCTGTCAAGCATTTGTAAGTTTTCGTTATGCACCTCAAGTCTGTCTTCACCCGTTCTAATTCCTCTGTAATAGCCTTATCCTACCATTTTCAGATATGTTCTCGAATCCCCTACATACATCAGGCCAGTTTAATGAATTTCATTCTAAACCTATCACACTAATTAAGAAAAGGGTCTGTTAACAAAAATTATAACAATTTGCAGTCCTTCCGAAGAACTGCCGCTATAGCTGATAGGCATTGTATGTGTCCATAAAGAAATCAAAATTAACACAAATCAAATGAAAAAAATAAGAACTAACGGAGTAGATGATACAATAAGTCTACCATAGATACAATAAGTCTACCATAGATGAAAAAAGGGTTTGTGGCTGCCGCCGATAGCCGCGAGACCACCATTCAAAGAGGAAACAACATCATTTTACTCGACCAACACCACACACTCACTCAGACTCAAACAGCTGCTCCTTAGTATCGATGAATTTATGAATCTTGCAGTTATGATGAGCATTCTTCTTCCTCATAGGAGATCTACCTTACTACAGGTACAGTTGTTGGAGATAATCCTTCGCGTCGCTAGCAGAAGCCATATCTCAAAAATGGTTATATTATAGCAAAGCCGCCTCGTCCAAACACGAATATACCCAATTTATACAACAACATACAAATCTTACAAATCTACCAAGACATAAACAAATCTACCAAACACGAAAGCAAATCTTAAAAACCTACCATAAAACTAAATACAAATCTACCAAAAACATAAAGAAATCGACCACATTCAATAACAAATCTATCAAAAACGAAAGGTAGTCTAGAAAACGTACCATGACTAGTACGATCATTTAAACCAAACCAACAAACATAAACAAATCTACCTAACATAATATTTTCCAAACAAATCTACCATGATCCCAAACAAATCTACTATTTAACAAATTAAATCTACCATTTTTACAATAACTCCATAAAAAGTCTACCATACACATTTTCAAACTCAACCATGAAGATAAGAGATTACTCACGGATAAGAAATCTACCTAACCTAATATTTTCCAAACAAATCTAACATTAACACAAACAAATCTACCATTTAACCAATTTAATCTACCATTTTACAACAACTCTATAAAAAGTCTACCATACACTCTTTTGAACTCAACCATTACGAAAAAAGATTACTCACCAGAAATCGTTTGCTCCCACTAAAAATTGTTTCGGAATGACGGAAACCACCAAAACCAAAACTTTCCTGCAAAAAATAAGATTAGGGTTACAGTTTCAGAGGAAACAAAAAGAAATTACGGATTTTTGCTTCCGCCGTCAGCCGCAACACAGCCGAAATAGCCTCACACATGGATGGCGGTAGCCTTCTGGGCCAAAAATTACCTGGATTTGACATGGAATCAATGAAAAAAAATGAGAAAATCGATGTGAGATAAACTTTCCTGCAAAAAATTACATATTCATACAACAAAATTTAACAAAACAAAAGAAAAGATAAAAGAGGAGAGCAAGAGAGGAATGAAAAGGTTAAGAAGAGAGCAGTTCCATGGGAGAAAGAGAGCGGCGCTGGAGAAAGAGAGAGAAGAAGATGAATTAGGGTTTTTTCTTTTTTCTTTTTGGTTTTGTATTTTTTTTTTTGATTTTTTCGTTTAAAAAATAATTTATTCGTCAAAAAAAATTTTGAATTTTTTTTAAAGATTTTTTATAAATTAAAGTTTTTCCGAAAAAAAAAAATTTTATTAAAAAAAAATCATAATGGCATTTTCGTGATAATATTTAACATCTGGACAAGGTATAAAACCAACTTTATAAGCTTAGTCTAGTACTCGCTTCAATATGTTAGGCTATGTTTGTCATTTCATCAACCTTAAAAGCTAGTCTGAAGAATTTTCAGTAATATTATTATAATCTGTATTCTTGTAAGAAACTAAGGCTCTTGATTCATGAGTGGGCAAAGAAATGAGATTGGAAAAGTATCTAAAACCTGGATTTCTATAATTACACCATACAATTCCACTAGGAGAGGAGAACAATTGAATCTGAGAGCAATTCAAGTTCGTAAGAAAAAATGTGCTTTTGGACGTGGTGGATAAGTAGGAATCCATGGGTCTTTATAATTTGCCAATAATATGTTTCATCAGAACCTCATGATTCTTCATAGTAACAAGAACGAGTCTTCATAGTAAATCCATATTCAAAATATTGGTGGGTAGTTCCAACAATATTAGCCAAGTTTTTGATCAATGATGTGATGATTAAATCTGTATTTGAAGCAAATGTCTTTTGGGAGTTTAAAAACATTTCAGAATCTTTGTGGGGGAAGACCCATGAATTCCTACCCATCCACCACGTCCTCCAGCTGCAAAGCAAGATAACAAAGAACCGGAATGGTATCTCAATGTGGTTCAATGAAGCTAGAAATGGATGGAGATGTGGAAAGAGTTTACGTCTGAAATTGTGTTCAACATCAAAAACAAGACGTCTTCGATGGGTACCATCAGTGGCGGAGTTCGAATTTTTATTTATCGGGTTCAAAAAAAAATATTCTAATAAAATTTAACACACAAAAATTTCAATATATATCATTAGTGTGTTTTGTAGAAACATAACTAATATTAGATGGCTATATTTCTTACTTTATTTTAGCCAAATGAATAAAATTGTAGCTGAAATCTAACTTTCTAGTGTTTGAGCTATTCTATTTCATGTATTTGTTTTTTTTTTATCTTATGTATGTAAATTAGTTTTTGTATTGGGGTAAAAATTATTCCAAATTGGGATAATACAAATTTTCTATAAAAGATATAACTAAATTTAAAAAAATGACTGGGGCCAGCTGACTCCCCTCTCACCTTACTGCCTCCGCCCCTGGGTACCATCACCAATTCCCTGCAGCAGAGATTTCCAAGCATAAGAACTCCTTTTTTCATTGTCGCAGTCAATATATTACCATCTCCATAATATGTTCCTCTCAGAATTCTGGACATTAAGTGTTCTGGATTTTCTAAAATCCTCTAAACTTGTTTTCCATGAAAAGAAAAATTGAAGTTTTCTAAATCTCGAAATCCCAAACCACCTTCTTCTTTTTTGGCAAACTCAATCTCTTTTCAGCATACCAGTGCATCCCTTTTTTTATCATCTCTTGAACTCTACCATAGTCTTGCTAATATGCTATTAATCTCTTCACATATATCTTTTGGGAGTATGACACATTCGTCAAAAATATTGGCATCGCAAGAACATCAGATTTGAGTAAGATACCTTTACCTCCATGTGAAAGAATTTTGTTTGCTCCAACCTGTTGTTCTATTCTTGACCTTCTCAATGATGTATTGGAACAGTCCAGATTTTTTCCCAACAAATTCTTCTCGTGATCCCAAATACCTGATCCCTCTGTCATCATTAAGTATTTTCAGTATCTTAGACATCCTAAATCTGGAAATCATTCACGGAATAGCTTGATTTGTATTTCAACCCAAAACACTCTTGAATCCTACCTAAAATTACTTAGCTGAGTATAGATACGACTGTCCATAAAATTCACAATATATTATTTAATTAGAAAAAGTATCCTTTATGACATTTTTCTGAGTTTAATTCCATAAATGTCACATAATGGTGTTTAATTCCACCTTATGGTATTCTAGATGTGGAAATGACGAGTTAGACCTCCTGAATTACTTTCAACATAATAACTTAAGTAAAAAATTAACTCTATTTGTGGACCTGACACGACCTTACACACGGATACAAAGTGCATTTAAAAGTAAAATTAATAAACAAATAAAAAAGTTTAGAGCATCTCCAAAAGATACCTTATAACTTCAAATATAAAGTTTTATATCCTTCAAAAGATACCTTAAAACCTCAAATTTTGAGGTATTGAACAGTAACACCTTATATTTGAGGTATCACTGTTCAATACCTCAAATTTGAGGTGTTATCTTCTTTATTTGCATTTCAGTCCTTTATATGCTTTAAAATTAATCATAATAACTTTTGTTTTTATCATTTCAACTCTCCTAATTTAATATCTTATTAATATTTCATTTTTCTTTTTATAAATAAATTATATATATACATATAAAATTTTAAAAGATAATTTAAAATAAAAATAATAATGACAAATAGTAAAATAATACATAACTTAAAAAAATAAATACATAACAACAATATTATATAAAGCAAATTTCATACAAAATAAAATAACACAAAAAATAAACTTACATGAACATATAAATATTACCTATAATATTTAATGTTACATGAACTTATATGTAATATTTAATGTTACATGAACATATAAATATTACCTATAAACTTACATGAACTTATATGTAATGTTATATTAAAGTTGTATTAATTAATATTGCCTATAATATTTTTAATATGTATCTATATAAGAGATGCCAAAGTTGTGGTAATCCTTATGAGTTTTGAGAGAGATTAAAAGAGGCTTTAGTTTTGTGTTATTTTCTAAAGCTAATAAAAGAAGTTGCTTTTATTCATATTCTTAATCTAAGTTCTTGATTCTATATTTGGTATCAGAGCCAAAATTCTAAAACCTAGTAATCACAAAAGATCATTAGAGCTATGGGTGATCTTGTCGCAGCAACAAAAACGAAGGAAGGAGGTGCGTCGACGTCCATACAGTATCCGATGTTAACCACCACTAACTACACTGTCTGGGCCATGAGGATGAAGGTGGCGCTTAGGGTTCATAAAGTTTGGGAGGTCATCGAACCAGGATCAGCAGACGAAGAAAAGAATGATCTAGCTCGTGCCCTCCTTTTCCAATCCATACCCGAAGCACTAATCCTTCGTCTTGGTGAGCTCGATACCGTCAAAGCCGTATGGGACTCAATTAATAGAAGACACGTTGGTGCTGACCGAGTAAAGGAAGCAAGATTACAAACAATGATGGCTGAGTTTGATAGACTAAAGATGAAAGAAACCGATACAATTGATGATTTTACCGGCAAACTTTCAGTGATATCTACCAAATCAACAGCCCTAGGAGAAAACATTGAAGAAGCAAAGATTGTGAAGAAATTTCTTAAAAGCTTGCCAAGGAAGAAATATATACATATTGTGGCTTCCCTAGAACAGGTTCTCGATCTTAACACGACTAGCTTTGAAGATATTGTGGGAAGATTGAAAGCCTATGAAGAAAGAACCTGTGAAGAAGAAGACTCGCAGGAGGAACAGGGTAAGCTCATGTATGCGGACTCACAAAACTCCCAAACCACACAAAGCTACCAAGAAGCTCAAGGAGGAGGAAGCGGTAGAGGTGGAGGGAGGTTTGGAAGAGGAAGAGGACGAGGTCGCTTTGGAAATCAACAAAGAGACAGAACCAAAGTTGTCTGCTATCGATGTGATAAGATAGGACACTACGCATCTGTATGTCCTGATAGATTGCTCAAGCTTCAAGAAACACAAGAGGAAGAAGACGATGATTCACAAAAGGCAGAAGAGCTTTTGATACATGAGACGGTATTTCTCAATGAGAAAAAGGTGAAACCAGACAACTTTGATGCTTGCTCAGACAAAGTATGGTACTTAGACAATGGTGCGAGTAACCACATGACTGGGAATAGGCATTGCTTCTCTAAACTCGATGAAACAGTCACCGGGAAAGTAAGATTTGGCGACGACTCACGAATTGATATAAAAGGGAAGGGATCAATCGTATTTTTCTGCAAGGATGGCCTTAAAGAACTCTGAACAATTTCTACTTTATACCAGACCTGAAAAGCAACATCATACGTCTTGGTCAAGCTACTGAATCTGGCTGTGAAGTGAGAATGAAGGAGGATTACCTGATTTTATACGACAAAGAAGGAAAGCTTGTGGTAAAGGCAAATCGATCAAAGAATCGTCTTTACAAGGTGCACTTGGAAGTTGAAGATACTAGATGTCTACAGATTTTAACAACAAAAGATTCAAAGTGGCACCTGCGATTTGGACATGCGAATTCAGAAACCATAAGAATGATGATTAAGAAGGAACTAGTTATCGGAATAACTAGTTTACCACAAGAAAAGGAGACGTGTACTTCATGCCTTCTTGGAAAACAACCCCGACGAGCCTTCCCTCAAGCAACCTCCTTTCGTGCAACTCAAAAGCTTGAACTAATACATGGGGATCTCTGTGGTCCGATCACACCTTCAACAGCTGCACAAAACAGATATATCTTTGTGCTAATTGATGACTACTCTCGTTACATGTGGTCGCTTCTTTTAAAGGAAAAGGGTGAGGCATTCGAAAGATTTAAGAGATTCAAAACAGCAGTGGAACAAGAAACAGGAACCACTATCAAGACACTTCGAACGGATAGAGGAGGAGAGTTTGTATCACTCGAGTTTCAAACTTTTTGCGAAACTTCAGGCATCAACAGACATTTAACAGCCCCTTACACACCTCAACAGAATGGTGTTGTAGAGAGAAGGAATAGAACTTTGATGGAGATGACCAGAAGTATCCTAAAGCACATGAGTTTACCAAATTACCTATGGGGAGAAGCAGTTAGACATTCAACCTATCTCATCAACAGGATTGCAACTCGAGCATTAACAGCTAAAACTCCATACAAACTCTTCAAAGGAAGGAGACCTAACATCAAACATCTAAGAGTATTTGGATGTATCGCATATGCAAAGATAGAGACGCCTCATCTCAAAAAGCTCGATGATAGATCTCGGATCTTGGTTCACCTAGGAACAGAACCCGGTACAAAGCATACCGTCTCTTGGATCCGATGTCTCGAAACATTATTGTGAGCAGGGACGTAGCGTTCGACGAAGATAAAGTGTGGAAGTGGAACAACACATACAGAGGAAACAACACAGAACCATGGAAATTCTCACTAAGTTTTGGAGAAATTGGAAATCATGGAATAAGAGAAGAAGAAATTGTCTAGGAAATAGAGGATAACAGAGCTCAGAACGAAACCGAAGAAGGGGAAGAACTCGATGAGGATATATCAAGTTCAGAACTAGGAAATTTCGAAACAGAGGACAATTTCGAAGAAGAAAACGTCGAACAAGAGCAGACTCATGAGCCTTTGCCTTTGCGAAGATCAACAAGACAGAACAAAAGACCGGAATACTTGAATGACTTTGTCTGTCTTGCAGAGATCGATTGTGAACAACTACTGATGGTTATAAATGAATAACCTTGGAACTTTGAAGAAGCAAAGAAAACAAAAGAATGGAGAGAAGCCTGTAAAGATGAATTGTCTTCCATTGAAAGGAACAAAACTTGGAGTTTAGTTGATCTTCCACAAGGAGCAAAGCCAATCGGTGTTAAATGGGTCTTTAAACTAAAGCGAAACTCTGATGGAAGCATTAACAAACATAAGGCACGACTTGTAGCCAAAGGATATGTGCAGAGACATGGAATAGATTTCGAAGAGGTCTTTGCTCCAGTAGCTCGCATCGAAACAGTTCAATTCATCATCTCTTTAGCAGCATCTAGCGGATGGGAAATGCATCATCTTGATGTAAAAACTGCATTCCTCCATGGTGAATTAAAGGAAGAAGTTTATGTCTCTCAACCTGAAGGCTTTGTGATCGAAGGAAGCAAAGATAAAGTCTACAAGTTACAGAAGGCACTTTATGGACTAAGGCAAGCTCCAAGAGCATGGAACAACAAACTTAACAAGATCCTTAAAGAACTGAGCTTTACAAAGTGTGATAAGGAGCCATCGTTATATCGGAAGCAAGTCAATAAGGATCTTCTCATAGTCGCTGTGTATGTAGACGACTTATTGGTCACAGGGTCAAGCTTGAATACAATCTTGGAGTTTAAGAAAGGAATGGCTGCGAAATTTGAGATGAATGATCTCGGAAAGCTCACTTATTATCTTGGGATCGAAGTTTTGCAACATGAAGATGGAATAACACTTAGACAAGAACGTTATGCATCAAGAATCTTAGAGGAAGCTGGGATGAAGGATTGTAATGCTGCACACATACCAATGGATCCAGGCTTAAGATTATCGAAAGCACAAAAGGAAAAGGGTGTTACTGAACGAGATTACAGAAGGAACATTGGATGTCTACGGTATCTGCTACATACCCGACCTGATATGTCATATTGTGTTGGTGTGTTGTCAAGATACATGCAAGAACCAAAAGAATCTCACGGTGCAGCTCTCAAACACGTTCTGAGATACCTTAAAGGCACCTTAGCACTTGGTTTAACGTTTCGACGAGGAACTAGCTTGGGTTTGGTTGGGTACAGCGATAGCTCTCATAATGTTTAGACGATGGGAAGAGCACAACAGGATACATATTTTATCTCAACAATTGCCCAGTTTCTTGGTGTTCACACAAACAAGAAACGGTTGCGATGTTGTCTTGCGAAGCAGAGTTTATGGCAGCTACGGAAGCTGCTAAACAGGCCATTTGGTTGCAGGAACTTCTTGGAGAAGTCTCGGGATCAGCATGTGAAAAGGTGACAATTCGGATCGACAACAAATCTGCATTAGCTCTTACAAATAACCCTGTATTTCACGGCAGAAGCAAGCATATTCACCGAAGATATCACTTTATACGAGAATGCGTAGAGAATGAACAAGTCGAGATGGAACATGTTCCTGGAACAGAACAAAAGGCAGATATTTTAACAAAAGCACTTGGAAGGATTAAGTTTAAAGAAATGAGGGAGCTTATTGGAGTCCAAGACTTGTCAAGAGAAGATTTCAAGCTTAAGGGGGAGATTGTTGGATTAAGCTTGATAGAAGCTTGATCACCAAGTTTCCTAGAGAGATTAGAAAAAGGAAAGTTCTAGGAGTTATCTAGAATAATCTTAGGAGTTATCTAAGAATAGGAAAGTTATTTTATCTAATAGGATTAGGAGTTGTAATATACTCTCTATATAAGAGATACCAAAGTTGTGGTAATCCTTATGAGTTTTGAGAGAAATTAAGAGAGGCTTTAGTTTTGAGTTATTTTCTAAAGCTAATAAAAGAAGTTGCTTTTATTCATATTCTTAATCTAAGTTCTTGATTCTATAACAGTGAAATCTGGTCCTATAACAGACGTCATCGGAACGAGATCCTCAACTGCATTAAAACAAAATAGAAAAACAGCAACAAAGGAGACAAGATGGAGAGGACATATATCTTTGGTGTTTGTTTGTTAGAAGACTAATTCAAAAAAAATATCACAACCCAAGAAACTCGGAACTCCATTAGACCAAAGAATCTGAGAATGGATTGGTACAAATGGGTTTTGTCTCCCAACGCCACACCAGAGTTACAACTGTTCTTCCATGGCTAGCATCTAGCGATTAAAATATCATCTATCGGAGAGCTAAAAGCTGGAATGCATATTATGTAGGAACATGGACGAATCTAGAAACCATCGATTCGTTGCTTGCCAATATTTATCGAAAATCAGGGAAAATTTAGTGCATAGACTCCTCTACAATGGATATTCCACCAATTGGGATCAAATTGTAGCCCATCTTCACAACTCAGATGCACAACTGCGTAACCCAGTTTTTAGTGAGGTATTAGTTTAAGCTATCCATATCACATATGGCGTGAAAAAAATAGCATAAAACACGGAGACCCTCGTATACCATCAAGCTCATAATCATAATTATAATCGAATAAGCTCAATTCGGAACATGACATACAGTCACATAATCGTATTTTTGTATTTCCTTTCAAAAAGTTTTCGATTCGTTATATCTAAAAACTCTACAAATACAAAGTTTCATTTAGTGTAAAACATTAAAAAAGGTTTGTTGTGTGCACTTGTAAAGAAAGAAAGTTGAACTAAATATTTTCTCTTTGTAACTCTTCTTTCTACCTTTTCTCTAAAAACAAAAGCAAAAGTAGATCTAAGGTTTCCTCCCCGGCGCTGGCGGCTCCCTTAGTGCCAGCGTTTGGTCCCGCCATGCTGGTTGTAGCAGCGGTGTAGGTGGTCTCGAGAGATGGTCATCGCCATCGGCAGCACAGATTTCAGCAATGCTGTGGGATTTGCAGGGAGAAGGGTTACCATCTTGCATAGTTGGCATTCTCTACCCCGTCTGCCTTGGTTTCTTCCGGCGCTCCTCCTGTCTTCTCACAACTTCTTCTCGGCGGTTCCATCAGCTCTCATTTTAAGGCCTCCTACCGGCGGCGAGCGCTTTGGCTTTAGTCGGCAGTAAGGTGGTGTTGGTTGGTTCTCCTGACTAAGTTCTCTCTCAAGTTTTAGTTCCCGAGGAGGCAGAGTGGTGGCTAGGCAGATCGGAGCTCCTCGGTCTAGGCAGCAGAGTATTTGGATTTTGAGGACTGGTCTGATCTCCGGTTTAAGGGTGTTGACGGTGGCTCTTGTCTCGTGACAAGCCTCGGAGTGGTGGCTCTCGTCTCTCTTGGCGGCTGCGACTCTACCTATGGTGTCTCTCAGCGGTGTATCTAGGTGGGTGGCTTGGCGGATGCTTTGCTCGGCTCGTTCTTGGCGGTTTAGCTTCGTTTTCGTCTTCATCATTGTTATGGCCTGGGTTTCCCGAAGGTGCGTGTTCTTGACGAAGGCACAACAGCTTCACATTTTTCTTTCAGATTTCAGCTCGCGTTGGCTCTGAATGTGGTCTGATTTAAATGGTGGAACGATCATAAATGTGATTTTTGAGGTGCTGCTTTGTTGTTGCGGCTAGCTTGTAGCTGTGGAGACTGGTTCCTAAGGAGATTTGTTTTCTCGGGAATGGCTTTCGGAGCTGACACTCTGATTGTCCACTCAGACTCCTTTGTTGATGGTTGCAAGTTAGTCTGTTACGGATCCCGGAAATCCGATTAGCTATCAGAGAAGCTGTAGGAGTCTAACTCCTCAGGTTTGAGGATTGGCTTCGGGATGATGTTCGTGGAAACAAGGATGAGAACTCTACTGCTTCGGAGTTGTGGCAAAAATAGGATGGTCCACGTTTTGGCGTATGTTGCTGCTTTTTTGTTTTGTTATAATTTTAAATTTTGTTTTCTTATCTCGTTAGCTGGTCTTTTTTACATTTGGTTGTTATCTGCTGGTTTTTTTTTGTTTTGTTTGTTAGTAATTTTCTTTTTGGTTAATTTGTTATCTTTGTAATCTTTGTAGTTTATGTGAAAAATTGAAAATAGGTAATAATATCTTTATATTTTTACCCAAAAAAATAGTTTAAAAAAATATAATAAAAATTTTCCAGATATCTTCTATTATTAATTGAGAATGCCATTTTAAAAACAACTTTCACTTAACATGTGATTTACAAAAGTGTCATGTTGATATGTCGTCATGAAAGAGTTTCTCAAAACACATATAAAAAATATTTTACTAGAGTAATTACATCATATGCCATTAACACTAATTTTTGTTTTCATCTACCCAACTATTACAATCACATTTGGCCAATCATTAATTTGGTTATAAATTAGTTTATAACAATTATATATTTATTACTTAATATTTCATTTGTAAAATATTTTTTCTATTTTTATTAATATATTTATAAAAATTTAATACATAATATTACTTATGTTACTAGATATTATATTTTCTTAAAAAAAACAATCACATTATCCTTTAAATAAAATTTTGATTTTTTCATATATATTATAATTCAAATGATTTAATATCAAAAGCAAAATATCTTAATCTGATGTTGGTCCGGTTAGATAGAACGTATTAATCCTATTTAGTATATTCAAATATGCAATTTCATTTATATATTAAAATATTATTAAAATTAATGCAATTATATAACAAAATAAATATAATTGAAACCATTATTTGCAATTGCATAATCAGCACATAAATTTATAATTATAAATATCAGTTAATATTTTATATTTATATTTATATTTATATGCATTATATTTGCATATTCGAATAAAAGAATTATGGTTAATATTTGCTCCGCGCGTATGGGTGATCACCTAGTATAACACTAATTTATGTCTCTGGGCATATTTTACCGGGCGGCAGATTATTGGTTCTATGTTATATTGTTATTAAACAGTTAATTTGTTTTTTTAATAATGCTTATGTGTCGTTTTTTTCTATAGTGACACGTTCATGACATGTTGAGATTAAGCTCTTTGAAATTTGAAAAGCCCGATCATATTCTGATACCCAGGATTGGCCCAATTTCATTAAGGGTTTCTTGGTCTTCAATGTATATATAATCACAATCTCTTAGCCGCAAGAAATCAGAGGAAAAAGGTTTTAGGGTTTTCCAAAGGTTAAAAGTTAAAAACACGTCTTGTTGCAACTTTTTTTTTTTGAAAGAATGTAAAATTGTATTCAATCAAAAAACTGTTTTACATCAAGTGCATCATTGTTTTAAGTGGTGAAAAGAAAAATATTACATCAGAGTCTGGTGCCAAACCAGTGAACCAGACGATTTTCATAGTCCTTCACTCCCTTAGATCGAATAGAGCTTAGACGATTTCGAATCGTCTTATCAATAACCTTTATCAATCTCTGAGGTGGAGAGAGGTTTTCTCCATGCCGCCGCGCGTTCCTTTCTCTCCATAGACCGTAGATTGTTGCTTGGAAAACATATCTAAGGATAAATAGAGAGGTTTTGTCGATGCTGTGGTCTCTAAGAATGCGCAAGATGTCATCCCAGTTGCAAGTGTATCTGTTGGTGAGAATGCCTTTGACGAGTGGTTCCCAAACCTGTTTCGCATAGGCACACTCAAAAAGGAGATGTTGTCGTGTCTTCAAAGGGTGATGACATAAGGAACAAGATGTGTCCACATTTGCATTCCAATATAGGATGCGATCCCCTGTGGCCAATCTGTCGTGCATTGCAGTCCAAAGCAAAAAACTGTACTTTGGAGTTGCGTATTTAAACCAGACAGTGTCGCTCCAATCGCACCGGAGGTGGTGTTCCCTTATGATCATCCAAGTTTCTTTGGATTTAAATCTGTCCTTGTAAACGCCAGGTCTACACATCCATTTAGCCACATCTTCCACACCTGCAGCCGCGTTAGTTTTTGCGTTTTCGATCTCATCTTCAACTCTGTTTAGCAGAGTATGTCGATGACGACGCCGTCTGTGCGTGAGGAATGCATCTTCAAGGGTCGATTCTAGAGGAATGCCCAAGTCGATGCACCCTCTAACTCCCAAAGACTCGATGAGTCTCCCCTGCGACGACCAGTGATCATACCAGAAGGATGTATTACTGCCACTCTTAACTTCAACCCGGTGAAAATCCCTTGCCAGAGGCCGCAATTTCAGAATTTTTCGCCACATCCATGAACCAGCATTCTGTTTATCTCCTACAGACCAGAAGGTATCCTTTCGTATCAGATACAAAAAAACCCACTTCTTCCATAGTGATTGATTTGGTGAGAGTAATCGCCAGATCAACTTTAGACCACTAACTGTATTCACCTCCTTGAGTGGCCTTAAACCAAGACCTCCTTCGGTTTTCTTTCGAGTGATCATATTCCATGCCACTTTTGATTTGTTTGTATTCAAGCTTGGAACAGACCATAGAAAAGCAGCGCAGAGTTTCTCTATCTCGCGGACACAGGCACTCGGTAGACGGTAAGCATTCATCCAAAAGTTCGTTATGCTCATCAAAACTGACCGAATTAGTTGAAGACGCCCTGCATACGAGAGCTGTCGAATTGTCCAAGAGCTGATTCTTCCTCGAATCTTTTCGATCAGGGGCTTGTAATCTCCAACTGTCATACACTTTGTCAAGAGTGGTAGGCCTAGGTATCGCACAGGCAGCTGACCTGAGGCAAAAGGAAAATTCGCAAGAATGGCTTCTCGCTCAGTTTGTGATATACCTGCCATATAGATCGTCGATTTTTCCACACTGATTTGAAGACCTGATAGCCTTGCAAACTGGCGGAAGACCTTTAGAACTCCATCGATCGATCTTTGTTTCCCATCTGTGAAAACCATAACATCATCTGCGAAGCATAAGTGAGTGAGAGAGAGATTTTGACAACGAGGATGATAGCCAATTTCCCTTCTCTTTGCCGCAGCATCAAGCATTTTTGTCAGAACATTCATACTCATGACAAATAGATAAGGTGATAACGCACAACCCTGTCTTAAGCCTCTCTCGCTTCTGCAAAACCCTGCCAATTCCCCATTGACTTGAACAGAAAATGAGGCAGAAGTAATGCAGAGGCGAATCCAATGGATAAACTGGGGTGGGAACTGCATTGCCTTAAGAGCATTAAGGATAAAGGGCCACTGAAGTGAATCAAAGGCCTTAGAGATATCTATCTGCAAAGCACTGCGACCAGATATAGATACTTTGTGGTAATCCTTTACTAATTCTGTTGCTAGCAGGATGCTCTCCATTAACAATCTGTTCTCCACGAAAGCTGTCTGGTTTGGATCAATGAGCCGAGACATCATACCCTTCAGTCTGTTCGCAATGATCTTGGAAATAACCTTGTAAATGACATTACAGCAAGAGATTGGACGGTAGTCTTTCATTTCCTTGGATTCTGTTTTTTTTGGTATGAGAGCAAGAATTGTCGAGTTGATACCCTTAGGTAAAAAGCCTTTGATGAAAAAGGAATGGATAGCGACAATAAAGTCTTTTCCAATCGTTTTCCAGGCTGCTCGAAAAAACTCGCTAGTATACCCATCAGGGCCGGGAGATTTGTTCGATGGCATACTAAACAGAACCTTTGTTATTTCCTTCTCTGTCACTTCTTTCACAAGTAGGTTACTATCCTCAGCCGTACAGCGAAAGTCTAGCAGTTCCTCCAATTTGTGAATCGATGGTTCCTCCAGGTCAACAGTTTTGTGGGTGAGAAACTCATGAAAGAAGCACTCGGCTTCCTCTTTGATCTCACCCTGAGTTTTCACGATGTCACCATTTGAGCATAGAATCTCCCTTATGCCATTTCTTGCCTCTCTGACCTTAACCGCATTGTGGAAAACCTTTGTGTTCTGATCACCAACCTCTAACCAGTGTAATTTAGCTTTTTGTTTGTAGAACTCCTCCTCAAGAGTTGCTACCCTCTGCCACCTCTCAAAAGCCTCTGCATCCTCTCTTATACGATCTGGTGTCGGGTTTATAAGTGTTGCGCCCTGCTTCTCGCACAGCGCCTGAAAAGCCAGCTTTGATCTTAACGCTAAGTTCCCAAACTTCCTTTTACTCAAGTCCCGAATGCCCGGTTTCAAGGTTTTCAGCTTTTTAGAAAATCGGTATAGAGCAGAGGTGGAGTGGAAAAGCGCCTCTGTTTTAGACCAGTGTTCTGCAACTAATGGTGCAAACTCAGCCATTCCTCCGACTGAATTAATAAATTTGAATGGCCGCTTCTTCCTTGTGCCCTGAGAACCCATTTGAATCCGACATCGCAAGTGGTCTGAACAGCCCCCTGACTCAAACACACAATAAGCTTGCGAGTGATGATAGAGCCATATGTCATTTACTAAAACTCGGTCAAGTTTTTTGCAAATGAGGCCCTCTTCCCGCTTGTTGCACCAAGTGAAAAGTGGTCCATGACCTCCCATATCAGATAAAGAGCAATGCCTTACAACTTCCTGAAAATCTCTCATTCCCATTGAGATGTTTGGCGAATTTTCAAAATTGGAGTGCTCTTCAGTCTCCAAAATCTCATTAAAATCACCCATGATCATCCAAGGTTTATTACGAAACATTGGTGAATCTTGGTGATGTTTCATATCTTCCCACAGACTCTTTCTCCCCTCAATCGTATTCAGTGCATAGACGAAACTGCAGAAAAATTATTCTTCAGCTCCATCAGCTAACACCGAGTAGGTTACCATCTGTTCGCTTTTGAAAACAGGGAACAAGCGAACCGTTGGTCTCCAAAGAATCCAAATGCGTCCAAGATGATTATATTCATAGTTTGCCATGAAAGACCAGTCCCTGAAATGCGAACCTACAATCTTCCCAGCTTTAATTTCCCTTACTCTCGTCTCTAACAAGCAACCAAACTGCATATCTGTTTCCCGAAACCAGTCCCGAACTATGGAATGTTTAAAGGTTTTGTTGAATCCGCGAACATTCCAACAGAAACTCGACATTTAGTTATTTTTGCGAGAGACTTTTTTCCCCACAGCAGTAAGGGTATCCTTAGATGCCTGAGTAGAAGTCTCCACCAAGAACTTGTGCTTGTTTTTGGAATCACGTGGAAGAGATTGTCTTACCGAAGTAGCTTCGACATTGTCTCTTTCAGGTTTTCCCGAGTGTTGCTCTTTTTGTTTTTGCGGATGGATCGTTGGAGGAACAGATTGCTGATGGATGTCAGTGGTCACCTGCCCTTCCTCTTCTAAAATTTCCCCTTCTTCTCCCGATTTGCTGAGGATATCAAACTTTGATGCAGAAATATGAGCTTCATCAGCCACCGCATGCATCTTTTTTGGACTTCTGCCCCCCTTTGCAGGTGAAACGGTTGTCCATTGCTCTGCTTTATCAGCTGTGTTCTCTGCACTCTCGCTATTATCCCCTTTTTCAATAAGTTCAGAACTTTGTTCAACACCCTCTACCGAGGCTGATTTGGTCTGAAGTGTAAGAACCTCCTCAGGCTCTTTGCGGATTTCACCCTCTTCTAGTTCTGCAGTTTCCTCCTCAATACTATCATCCACCCGTTTTTTCTTATGAATCACACAAGACGAAACTAAATGTCCCCATTTGTTACACGTGTTGCACTTTGGTGGAAGCCAGGGATATGAGAATTCCACCAGTGATTCATTGCCATTTTTAGAGAATTTTATTGTCTTGGGCAATTCTTTAGTGAGATTTGCATTGACAAACACCTTTGCTATCTCAAAACTTGAACAAGCTGCAGTTTCTGGGTGGAGATGTTTTGGTTCCCCAACTGTGCTGGTGATAAAACTCAATCCCTTCCAGGAAAACATGTTCATGGGAACTTTTCGCAAGTGCATCCACATTGGAATAGACGTCAGCTCTGGGATATCTTCCTCCGTGAAGGGAGACCACTTTGTTACGACCATAGGGATCGCTGCAATACTCCACATTCCGTGACGCAGAACACGGGCTCTGATCTGCGGATTTGGGATCTTGAATTTCATCGTTGTGGAGTTGATTACCTCAATATTCACTTTCTGTGAGTTTTCACCCTGGTTCCAAATTTTGTTCACGATCACGTGAACTTTAGCGACATGAGGCGCCGCCGATAAAAACTTTCCGATCACGAAATCTTCCCATAAGGGCGAAGCATTTTCAAAAACCTCATCAGGCACTTCCACTGAACCCTGACCCTCGTCATCTGAAATCACCACTTCGTATTGCTTTAGAACATTCTTATTCTGCACCACTGAAGCAAAGGTAGCCGTCTGCGTAGACAGAGGCTGTGTTGGAGGATCCCCCGGAGCCTCCGGCGAAGCCATCGCCACAGTAGCTGCGTCGGCGAGCTAACTTGAGATGGAAGAAAAGCGCAAAACCCTAATCGCCTCCAAAATCGCACCCTTAGAAAAACGCACCGTCTCCGGTTCGGGTTTTAAACAAATGATTGGTTTCGCTCTAACTATTGTTTGTCTTGTTGCAACTTTGAGAAACAAAAAAAGAGAAACAAAAAAAAGATGACAACGATGATCACTAATCTTCCAAGGGATTTGATGGAGGATATTCTCCTTAGGGTTCCCTTGAAATCTATGAGAGGAGTGCGATTAACTTGCAAAGAGTGGAACACGTTATCAAAAAAGTCCGAGCTTTACAAAGATGCACTTTGGTAAAACATCAGCCACAACACAGGAAGGAGAGTCTCGGATGATCTTGATAATGAATTTTAATCTTTATTTAGTGAGCGTCTTTGTCAACGACGCTGATCCATCTACGGAGCATAAAGGTAAACTTACTTGCCTTAACGAACAAGTCAAGATATCTTTTGTCTTTCACTGTGACGGGCTATTGTTATGCATCTTGAAAGACGATGATACTAAGGTTGTTGTTTGGAATCCGTATTGGGGACAAACAATGTGGATCTATACAAGATATTCCCTCATGGATGCATGCGGACCTTTCGACAGGTTCTCTTACACTCTCGGATACGAGAAAAAGAAATCTCGCCGTAGCTACAAATTATTGAGGTTTATAGATACTAACTTATTTAATTTCGAAAACGACCTTGTATGGTATGAAATATACGATTTTGACTTTGATTTATGGAAGACTCTTGATGTCGTCACTCCATACTGGCGTATACACTGTGGTCAACATTCCGTTTCTGTCAAGGGAAACACTTACTGGTTTGCTACAAAAAAGAACTCACGGGGGGAATGGGACTGTTGGTTCGACCACTTAATCTGTTTTGATTTTACAAGAGAGAAATTTGGACGGCTTCTGCCTTTGCCGTGTCCCTGTTATGACGATGAGGATCACTGTGTGACTCTATCTTGTGTTAGAGAAGAGAAGCTTATGGTTTTACCTCAAAACCGAGATAATCCAAATATGTTTGTTATATGGATTTCGACTATGATTAAGGCCAAAAAGATACTCTGGAGCAAGTTCTTGAGAGTGAATGCGGGATCACATGCTGATATTACGCTTCCATATGGGAGTTTCTTTATTGACGAGGTGAAGAATGTCGCCATGCTTTTTGATATAAGGTTGAATCGCTACACAGTTGACATCATTAATGGAGAGGCTAGACAAGTGGATCTCGAAGAATTTATGGAGGAAAGCTGGCTTACACATGTTTGCTCTTATGTTAGACGAGTGGATCTCGAAGAAGCTATAGAGGAAAGGTGGTGGCCACGTGTGTGCTCTTATGTTCCAAGTTTAGTGGAAATCAAGAAACCTAAAGGAGGCCAGAGGAAAGAGCAAAGCATTTTAGAAAAGCATCGATATGTTCAAAAATTGTTGAGACTTTCGGTCTTTAAATGGAGGTGCCTAAGGCATGCGGCGGCTTTACGTGAGGAAAAACGTTTATCAGAGTGGTATTAAATTTCAGTATTTCTTAAGTTTGATTAGAAGTCTGTTTCGTTTTAGTTAGGTTTGTTTGATTTAAGGATACCGTATATAGAAAGTACTTTGGTTCAGATTCCGTCTAAACTCACTGTGATAGAAGAAAATCTCCAGTTGTAATCTAAAACTCCAAAACTCTTATTATTGCTTAAAATGGGGAAAAACAAACGATACATTTGAGACTATTTCATATAATGCTGTAAGATACTGAGGCTCTTTCTTCTATTGATTCACACACTTTGTCACACTTCCACCATCACAGTTTTAGTGGCCAAAAAAATGAAACTGGAAAAATATCCATAGTTTGGATTTCTATAATTACACTATACAATTCAATTAGAAGAAGAGAACAATTCAAGTTTGTGAGAAAAAAAAAAAATGGTCTACTTATTCATCTTCTGCTATGAAATTTGGTTCTTCCCCACGGCATAGGTACTCATCGCACATAGAAGACGTTCCCCAATCTTTCCTTAACCTCAAAATATCTTCTGTAAAAGTTGATCCAGATGCTCCTATAAATACGCTCGACATGGCGCATATCGTTTTGTCCAGCATTGCATCCACCTACACATTGCAAAAGATGATTCAAACAAGAAAGTTTCAAAGAAAGTTTCAAAGAAAGTTTCAGAGAGGCGAAGCAGTGAGATTCTTACCTGAGAGTCATCTTCTATACCATGTCGATATAACAACGCGTCCCACTTTTCAGCTGAATTACGCGGTGGACGTTTTACAAAGGGCACAATTTTTCCATTTACCACAACAAGTGACTGAAGCAGACTCGTTTCACTCTCTGCAGCATCAGTTGAGAGATAGATCACTGCACCATTGGATCTTTCCACTATCCGAGCAATACACTCTGCAGCTTGTGGAATCGGATAAAAGCAACTCGGCTTCTTTGCGTTACTGTCATGAGAGAAAAACAATAAAATCTCCATTTTTCAGAACACTACAAGTCTAATCAGATAAAGTCCCTAGCTTTGTCTTTACAACATCAATCTTGGTGCAGTGAAGGTCATACTAAAGGAACATACAGTACTACAAACAAGAATCGAATGTTTTTATGGAAATTAAGAGCTGCAATATGAAAAAGACATACCAGAACTTGAGGAACCCATGTCTACGGAAATGAAGCGCGATGAAGTTCTTCCCCAAGAAAGTCTGGATGAATCGCTGAGCGGTCAACAAAATCAGCTTGCTTGGTTCGATCAGCGTCTTGCAGTTGTGGTTAATCGGTCCACCAGGCTGCATCACCAAATCTTGCTCCATATCAGCGTAGAAAACGTCCCCGATTGCGATCACATCATCATCAGACTTGAAACTTCTCTTCACCTCTTCCATTGTTTTCTTGCTCGGTTTCTTTATATCTTCACTCCAAGGAGAATCAAGCTTCCCATCAATGGAAATCCCCAAACTTTTCAGCTTCTTGATGTGCTCCTCGTCCACATAGCAAAGCTGCGGGGACGAAAAGTAACATATGAATCGGTCTATGCGAGGACGGTTCTTTTTCGCCTTCTCCTTGAACTGATCAAACGAAACAACAACGTTTCTTCCTAAGCAGGTGTTAATGCGGTCAATATCTATCACTCTATCGTATTGGTAATCAAATTTAGAGCTTGGGATCACAAGAACTCGATCCAGCAACGCGGCGAAGAACATGTGTTTCTCTAAGCAAATCAAATGGTTGCTCATTTGGCCTGAGAGACATATAGCGAAAAGAAACTTATCTGATCTCGGATTCCACTCTATAGTTTTCCGATCTGACAAATTCTGATCCACTTTTCTACATCTATTGTATGAGTAATCACCGGAATCGGATTCAGATTCGTTACCGGAGTAATTCCCGGTCCTGTGTGGTGCCAAAAGCACCTCTTGGATCTCCTTATTCAACGAAATCTGCTTCGAAACAGCAGATTTCACATCCTCAAATAACACAGAGGATCCATTGGCATTCGCGGATTGATGATTAGGGGAAGGATTCACCAACGTACCGTTCCAAAGAGAGAGAATCGCGAGCTGTTGCTGCCTCAGAAGATACAGAGCGCGAAGCTGGGATTCCTTGACACGGCTCGACATCGGATCCACCTTGAAACTCGAGAAATTCGCCGAGAAGAGTCGAGGAGGATCGGTGATTAAGAAGACGAGACCGATTGAGATAGTTAGTGAGACGGCGGCGAGGATGTAGCGTTTGTTTAGCGAGATCTTCCTCCGCGAGAGAATGTCCTCGATCTGGAACGCCGATCTCGGAGTCCCGCCGGTTGTGACGGTGGAGGAAAGCGGATCTTCGCGGTGGCGATTGCGAGTGTCGTTCTGAGGGATCAAATGCTGGTGGTCTTCTTCGTCGTCTGATGAGTTTCGCTCCATTGGCAAAGAGAGAAGAGTGAGCTCGCGAAATCAAAAACAGTGAGATTCTCCTCAAGTTTCTAAGAATTGGAAGCTCCCTGTGAAAAATTCGAAATCTCAAGGGGAATTTTTAACTACATTGAGTAATGAGGAAGAAGAAGAATAATTGGATTCTGCATTTGAGTGAAGAAGAAGGAGAATAGTTTCGTCGGCAACTAACCAGAAGTCAGTGAGATGGTGACGGTGGGTGGAGGAGAATGGTTTTATCAAATTATTAATTTAAAGTTAAAGGATCGACCAAACCGGTTTAAAGTAGCCGGTTTTACTGTATTAATTTGGGTTTTGCAAATCAAATCTTAACCAGAAAAACCCTAAATAAAACTCCGGAATTCTATTTTTCTGTCAAAGATTTCTAGAAATTTTGACAAAGTGATTTCTGGAAAATTTCTAGAAAATTTCTAGGAATTTTAAGAAATTCAATACGATGATAAATGCATTCCGAAAATAGAATGTGATTATCTTTAAAATAGGAAAATTTAATCATTGTTATTTGATAGCATATCTCGCATCAATGTAGCAAAACTTCGTCGAACTGTTAGGAGTTAATATTATTGATATTAATAAATACGCAAATCTTTAAAAAGGAAAATATAAAATATGCAAAATATTCCAAAATGGTTCTATTGAATATGTAAAATTGGTTATATGGAATATGTAAATTGGAGAACCTCTCTCTCTCTCTCTCTCTCTCTCTCTCTCTCTCTCTCTCTCTCTCTCTCTCTCTCTCTATATATATATATATATATAGATATTAAGTACTGTGTTTAATTACAACTCAATAAGACAATAAGAATCACAACTTGACTGTTTGAAACAACCCAACCATGAAATCATCACAAATTGCTCTAATCTGCATCGTCATATTTTCCCTCTTCGCTCTGCATGAGGGTACGTATACGTTTTCTTCTCACATACATATAATATGTAAATAAAAAAAAAAATCTATCGTCTAAGTTTTCTTTGTGTTTATCAATGTAGGTGCACGGAGCGACCTCTACATACCATCTTGTGTCAAACAGAGTTGCGACGGTTTCATCTTTAATAAGGATTGTTGGTGCTGCTTCGAGCCTAAAGTTCACAAGAATGCATGCTGGAAAGCCGATCATCCCAACGCCAAAGAAATTTGCTTCCAAGAATGTTCGAGGAAGATTTGAAAGCTTTTTTAGAATATTGTTTTAAGATTTTGGTTTTGGTTTTTAATTAGTTTGGATAAATTTCAGTAGTACCACTTTTGTGGTACAATTTTATTAAATTGCCATCATATGCTTGTCATTTTCATAAATATTATTATGTTAATTGGTAATTTACCAAACTGCTCTTGATTTAGTGAACGAAAACATCGTAAAAAAAAAACTCAGATGGAAAATAATTAGAGAAAATTTGAGAAAATACCTTATCATGAGTTTATAATTTGAAAAATACACCAATTTTAATTTTTTTTTTGAAATCTACACTTATTGGTAAGTAAAATGACAAAATTAACCATAATTTGCAATTGAAGTAATTTTTTATTTAAATCGTAATATATTTTAAATATATATATATATATTTAGATTTTCTGCACAAAGAATATCTAGTTAGTTTTTATTTATTTTACTTTAATTACTAAACAATATTTTAATTAAAAAATCTTTGTAATTCAATTCAACAAATCGAAACATCAGATTCTGTAAAACAGCGATCAAACTCATTTGCATTCACGCCGTCAAAATCACTATTCTCAAATTGGTAAATTTTTTCTTTCGTTCTTAATTGACATTGTCGTAGTATTATACTTCTACTCTTTGTCTTCTCAAAATGGTTTGTTTTGTTTTTAATAAAGAAAAAAGGTACATATAGCTGGAGTTTTTGGTGAATGGCAAGTGAAAAAGGAATCATGGGAATTCATTGTGAATACTAAAGAAGGAGGTAAATTATTCACGATTAGGGAAGGTTTGAAGTTTGCTGATATGGTTCAGATGGTTCATGACGATTTTGGTTTAAATAAGTTGGATGATGAGGTAGAACTTAGCTATGCCTTGCCTGAGACAATGATGAAAGATATGCCCAAGGATACTCCACCTATCTTTGTAACTAATGATAGGCAATTCGAGACTTTTTTTAAATGTGCAGATCGAATAATGTTCGTCTTTGCATCTCAGTTAAAAAGAATGTTCATCTAGAGTACCAAAATGAAGATATTTGTTCTCCCGAATTATCTGTGGTGTATGGAAAAAGCTGTGCAAATATGACAGAAAATTCATATGAGAGGCAAGATATTAATGATGAGACAGAAGTAGAAGCTGCGAATTTTCACGATGAAAAATTCATTAAAAAGGGCCAATGGTTCAAGAATAAGGTAGAATTGTCTTGGACTATACAGATGCTTTCGATTGAACGCAAATTCAGAATCAGTGTTAAGAAGTCAGACACTAAACTGTTAGTTGTGAAGTGTGTTGAGGCAAGCTGCAACTGGATGGTTCGAGCTACAAAGAGTAATCCGTCATGTGAGTATTTTTGGGTAACAAAGTACATCGACAAGCATACATGCCTTTCTAGAAGAGTTGGTGGACCAAAAGCTCCATCGAAAGTAATAAGTAAGCTTGTTTTGGAAACTTTTAGAAATGCTGGTATAAATATGAAACCAGGGGAGATCTCTACAACTATGAAAAGAAGATACGGTCTTGATTCAACATATTGGAAGATATGGAAAGCTAGAGAAAATGCTCGGGATGAGGTATTGGGTACTCCTGAAAGTAGTTATTCTCAACTCCCTGTATACATCCACAAGATTAAGAAGGCTAATCCCGGCACAATAGCATGTCTGGAGGTTGATGATCTTCAACGGTTTAAGTACCTGTTTATCATTTGCTGCTTCTGCCAAGGGTTATGAGTTCATGCGTAAAGTTGTTGTAGTTGATGGGACCTTCTTGAAAAGAAAATATAAGGGTGTTTTATTAGTTGCAACAGCTCAGGATGTGATGTGATCCTAGGTGAGGATCAAGCCCTGAACTACTCTCCAACGATTGTGATCTCGAAATTTGATGATTTGAGGTATTGCGGAATGAAGGGAATGAATATGAAATGATGAAAAATGGTATAACTTGGGGAAGTCGCCTTGATACTTCTAAGAGAGATGAAAGATCTCTTAGACTATCAACAGAAATAAAGAGCTTGTAATGAAAGGATATAATCCGAATTCACTAATCAAGCTGGTGATCAAACGATTTAGAGAGAGTTTTAGAAATAAAAGGTTTGATAGATTGAAAAGAAAGACAAGAGCAATACATATAGAGTCTCGAACACATAGGAAATAACAAAGACAACTAAGACGACTTAAAGACTCAATGACTAAGACTTAGACTAGTTTGAATTTGAAAATAGACTCCTCTCTTCCTTGATCACATTTGGTGAACGAAATGGGCTAAGTTTCCATCAAAAGGCCTTTTGTAAAAGTGTTGTGGACAAGCCTCATTAAAAACCTTGTTTGGAAAACCCAATTGGGACAAAACCAAACGAAGGGAAAAAGAGCACAAGTCACAACATCTCTCTTGATGAACTCTTAAGTGGCTTGTATCACAACCAGTGTAGTTGGATTAGCACACTTAAGATTTCCCTGAATGGTGTATAATAGCTTGTGACAAGCTTGCTTGAATTTCATTGCTCTTGATCTCGTCATTGGACCAATCGGAAGATGCAAATCTTTATCTTCGTCTATACTTGCTTCCTCGGGTTTCAACTGCTCTTGGTCTTCATTCGATTCTGGTTCAGGCTCTCCTTGTTCTCCTTCAATCTCCTCAGTTCCTAAGCTGGTCTTTATCATATCATCCTCTCCCACTTGAAAAGGATTTGTCCTCAAATCTGTATCTTCTGCAAGAAAAGGAACTAAGTCAGAAACATTGAAGCTCGAGCTCACAGAATACTTACCTTGAAGGTCCAGCTGATAGGCATTGTTATTAATCTTCTTGACGATCTTGAAAGGTCCATCGATTCGCGGCATGAGCTTAGACTTTCTTTCATTGGGAAATCTGTCTTTCCTTAAGTTAATCCACACAATGTCTCCTTCTTCAAAGACCATCTCCTTTCGGTTCTTGTTGGCATGCTTGGCGTAGCACTTAGTTTTATTCTCAATGTTGATGCGCGCCTTCTCATGGATCTTTTTCACTAGCTCTGCCTTTTTCTTTCCATCTTAGCTAACTCTTTCACCCAAAGGTAAAGGCATTAGATCCAAAGGTAAAGTAGGATTGAATCCGTAAACGATTTCAAATGGTGAGAACTGAGATGCAAAATGCTTAGCATGATTATAGGCGAATTCTACATGTGGTAAACATTCTTCCCAAGTTTTAAGATTCTTTTTAATCAATGCACGCAACAAGGTAGATAAGGTTCTATTAACTACTTCAGTTTGACCGTCAGATTGCGGATGACATGTGGTAGAGAAAAGCAGTTTAGTTCCTAGTTTAGACCAGAGAGTTTTCCAAAAGAAACTAAGGAACTTAGTATCTCTATCAGAAACTATAGTTCTAGGCATGCCATGCAATCGCACAATATCTCTAAAGAATAAATGAGCAACATTCATGGCATCGTCGGTCTTATTACATGGAATAAAATGAGCCATTTTAGAGAACCTATCTACAACCACAAAGATAGAATCCTTACCTGTCTTAGTCCTAGGCAATCCAACTACAAAGTCCATAGAAATATCATGCCATGGATGCAAAGGAATAGGTAAAGGAGTATACAAACCATAGGGTTGTTTCTTAGCCTTAGCTTGTTTGCAAGTAACACATCGTTCACATGCCCTCTCGATGTCTTTCTTCATATGTGGCCAATAAAAGTGTTCTTGGACTGTACTTAGAGTTTTGGCAACGCCAAAGTGACCCATTAGTCCACCTGCGTGAGCTTCTTTGACAAAAAGATCTCGAATAGAAGAGTTAGGCACACATAGTCGATTTTCAAAGAACAGGAAATCATCAGCTCTATAGTATTTCCCACTACCAAACTTCTCACACGAAGCATATATATCTTTAAAATCAGCATCAGTAGGATATAGACTCTTAATGTGTTCAAAACCGAGCAGTTTGGTTTCTAAAGAGTTCAAGAGAACATACCTGCGAGACAATGCATCGGCTACCACATTATCTTTACCTTTCTTGTATTTGATGACATATGGAAAAGTCTCGATGAACTCGATCCACTTAGCATGTCTTTTGTTCAACTTCTGTTGGCCTTTTAGATACTTGAGGGACTCATGGTCAGTGTGAATGACGAATTCTTTAGGCCAGAGATAATGTTGCCATGTTTGGAGAGCTCTCACAAGCGCATACAGCTCTTTGTCATATGTAGGGTAATTCAGTGTAGCTCCTCCAAGTTTCTCATTGAAGAATGCAATGGGCCTCTTTTCCTGCATAACAACAGCACCAATACCAATACCTGAGGCATCGCATTCTATCTCAAAAGTTTTAGTAAAGTCAGGGAGAGAAAGCACCGGGGAATGAGTAAGTTTATCCTTCAAAGTTTGAAATGCCTCTTCTTGATCTTGTTCCCATTTGAATCCCACGTTTTTCTTGATAACCTCAGTGAGGGGAGCCGCTAGAGTACTAAAGTCCTTGACAAATCTTCTATAGAAACCCGCAAGTCCATGAAAGCTTCTTACTTCACTAACAGACTTTGGACTCGGCCAGTCTTTAATAGCTTTGATCTTGTCCTCATCAACCTTGATTCCATCTGCACTCACAACAAAACCTAAAAAGACAAGGTTATCTGTTCCAAAAGTGCATTTCTTTAAGTTCGCATACAAGGTCTCCTTTCTAAGTACTTCTAAAACCTTTCTAAGATGCTCCACATGTTCATCTAAGCTTTTGCTGTAAATTAAAATGTCATCAAAGTATACCACAACAAAATGACCTATATAAGCTCTAAGAACATGATTCATCAATCTCATAAACGTGCTGGGTGCATTGGTTAATCCAAAGGGCATGACTAACCATTCGTATAAGCCCTGTTTAGTCTTAAAAGCAGTTTTCCACTCATCACCCTCTTTCATTATAATCTGGTGATATCCACTCTTAAGATCTACTTTAGAAAAGATGCTAGAACCATGTAATTCATCAAGCATGTCATCTAATCTAGGTATAGGGTGTCGATACTTCACCGTGATATTATTGATGGCTCT